TCTTCACTGCTCACCCTACTCAATCTGTTCGCCGCTCTTTGCTCCAAAAGTTTGGGAGGTTTGTCCTTTTGCTGTCCACTTCTCGTTTTCTGCCACAAGTGTTTGGTTAAACTGGTTTGCCCCTTTATGCCAGGATCCGTAATTGCTTGACTCAGCTATACGCTAAGGACATTACTCCTGATGATAAACAAGAACTCGATGAAGCCCTTCAAAGAGAGGTAATCTATCCTAAATCTTGTTCTATTACCAGTGTTTTGTCTCCATGGTTTTGGTTGTGTAAAGAATCTGACAGTAAATGCTTATGTTCTTGATTGTTCAAAAGATTCAAGCTGCTTTCCGGACGGACGAGATTCGGAGAACTCCTCCAACTCCGCAGGATGAAATGAGGGCAGGGATGAGCTACTTCCACGAGACGATCTGGAAAGGCGTTCCAAAGTTCCTGAGACGTGTTGATACAGCTCTCAAGAACATCGGAATCAACGAGCGGGTTCCTTACAACGCCCCTCTCATTCAGTTCTCTTCCTGGATGGGTGGAGATCGAGATGGTACAGTATGCTGTCCAAGTTTTCGCTTTATTTTCCCGTTTTCTTGCTCGGGTTCTTTTTAAACTGTTCCGGTTTTGATGTGTTTCAGGAAACCCGAGAGTAACTCCCGAAGTAACGAGAGATGTATGCTTATTAGCCAGAATGATGGCTGCTAATCTCTACTTCTCCCAGATAGAGGATCTTATGTTCGAGGTATATATCGTACTATAAATACTCGAAGCTGTAAGTAATATCGATCTTTCCTAATGTTTAGTTTCTCACCGTCGAATTTCCAGCTGTCAATGTGGCGATGCAACGAGGAACTTCGTGTCCGTGCAGAGGAACTTCAATGTTCTTCGAAGAGGGACTCGAAACATTATATAGGTGCTTTCTCGGTAACTTTTTGCATATTCATCATTTAGATATACCCGAAGATTAAGAAGTTCTGCATATTTTTTCGGGATTTTTCTGATATTTGATCGGGAAACTCTTCTGCTCGATGCAGAGTTTTGGAAGCAAATTGCTCCGAAAGAACCATATCGAGTAATTCTCGGCGATGTGAGGGACAAGTTGTACAACACACGCGAACGTGCTCATCAGTTATTGTCGACCGGAGTTTCAGACATCCCCGACGAAGTGGTTTTCACGAATGTGGATCAGGTTTTCCTCCCTCGTCCTGTTCTAATTATCATTTCGAGAGCAATGTTGTTTATTGTTTCTTGTTTCTTGTCCGTTGGTGCTTTATATGAAGATTCTAACTGTTTAACCGTTCTTCGGGGAAGTTCCTCGAGCCGCTCGAGCTCTGTTACAGATCTCTCTGCGACTGCGGTGACCGAGCAATAGCCGACGGAAGTCTGCTTGACTTTTTACGTCAAGTCTCTACTTTCGGGCTTGCACTCGTGAGACTGGATATCCGTCAGGAATCCGACAGGCACACCGACGTCTTGGACGCCATTACAAGGCACTTGGACATCGGTTCATACAGGGAGTGGTCGGAAGAAAAGAGGCAGGACTGGCTCTTATCCGAGCTAAGCGGGAAACGTCCTCTCTTTGGCCCGGATCTTCCCAAAACCGAGGAAATCGCCGATGTTTTGGATACGTTCCACGTCATTTCGGAGCTTCCCCCGGATAGTTTCGGTGCTTACATAATCTCAATGGCCACTGCCCCGTCGGATGTACTCGCTGTCGAGCTCTTGCAACGAGAATGTAGGATAATGCATCCTCTAAGAGTTGTCCCGTTGTTCGAGAAGCTGGCCGATCTAGAAAACGCTCCCGCATCCGTTGCCCGACTCTTTTCCGTCGATTGGTATCGAAACCGGATCAACGGTAAACAAGAAGTGATGATAGGGTACTCCGATTCTGGAAAAGATGCAGGCCGTCTCTCCGCAGCTTGGCAGTTGTATAAAACCCAAGAAGAGCTCGTGAAGGTCGCGAAAGAATTCGGGGTGAAACTGACAATGTTCCACGGGAGAGGAGGGACCGTGGGGCGAGGAGGCGGTCCGACCCATCTCGCCATTCTGTCCCAACCGCCGGACACCATCCACGGGTCGTTGAGGGTGACGGTTCAGGGTGAAGTCATCGAGCAGTCGTTCGGGGAAGAGCACTTATGCTTCAGGACTCTCCAGCGGTTCACTGCCGCTACGCTCGAGCACGGGATGCACCCTCCGGTTTCTCCCAAGCCCGAATGGCGTGCCCTCATGGACGAGATGGCTGTTATTGCAACCCAGGAGTACCGTTCTGTCGTCTTCAAGGAGCCTCGTTTTGTCGAATACTTCCGTCTGGTAAGAGACTCCTCCCTCCCGATTTCGTTCTCGACATTGTAATAGCGATGACTGTTCTATCATTTTATCGTTCGGGTGCGTTTGTAGGCGACTCCGGAGCTCGAGTATGGTCGGATGAACATAGGAAGCCGGCCGTCGAAACGTAAACCGAGCGGGGGAATCGAGTCGCTGCGAGCGATTCCGTGGATATTTGCATGGACACAGACGAGGTTTCACCTTCCGGTCTGGCTTGGATTCGGAGAAGCCTTCAGGCACGTGATAAAGAAAGACGTGAAGAACCTGCAGATTCTGCGGGAGATGTATAACCAGTGGCCGTTCTTCCGAGTGACCATCGACTTGGTCGAGATGGTTTTCGCCAAGGGAGATCCCGGGATCGCGGCCTTATACGACAAGCTCCTCGTCTCGGAAGAACTCCAGCCGTTCGGACAGCAACTACGTACAAACTACGAAGAAACCAACCGCCTCCTTCTCCAGGTAATAAGCGCAACCGCTGTCCTAACTAGTGCTGGTTATATGCCGACTATACTCGAAGTGATAAAATCCGTTCGAACACTTGGCGTTTTCAGGTGGCGGGCCACAAGGATATACTCGAAGGGGACCCGTACCTGAAGCAGAGGCTGCAACTACGGGACCCGTACATAACGACGCTGAACGTGTGCCAAGCCTACACGCTGAAACAGATCCGAGACCCGAGCTTCCACGTGAAGGTGAGGCCGCACCTGTCGAAGGACTACATGGAATCGAGCAAGCCGGCGGCAGAGCTCGTGAGGCTGAACCCGAAGAGCGAATACGCCCCGGGACTCGAAGACACTGTCATCCTGACCATGAAGGGCATTGCCGCCGGCATGCAGAACACTGGCTAAGCCCCATCTTCCCCCGCTTGTTGTATCTGCACTCTCTCTATTGTTCTGTTCATGTCCTCTGTTTGAACTTATCAACGTGTCACTACGTGTTTAATCTGAGTACATTGGTTAATAACCGAAGTGAATCGTTCCAAACCGAATTGAATTGGTTAATAACCGAAGTGAATCGTTCCAAACCCAAATTGAATTCGATTAAAAAAATCGAATAGTTGTGATTTCTCGTAAAAATTGAATTCAAATCAAACCAAACCCTCCCCCCAACAAAACTTGATTCTTAAATGAGTTTAATATGGATGGCATTTTGGTATCTGGTCGAGTTATTTGGTTTATATCACCCGTTTGATTCGGTTTGGTTTGACGGTTTGATTTGAAAATAGTATTGGTTTTTTCGGTTTGAACCGAGTTGATTTTGAAGAACCGTATTTCGTCGAACCCAAATTGAAATAAAATTGAATGAATTTAATATACAATAAAAATTTATATACGAAATATTCGAATTTAAGTATAACCGATGAAACTCGAAATCGCATCCCTAAAGCGGATATGGAAGAGC